CCCATAACATGATACAGACACCACTATGCTTGAAAATATGGAGAGTGGTACACAGTAATGTGTTGTCTTGGATTTGCCCTAAAAATAACACTTTGTATTCATGACAAAACTTTAATTTTCTTTGCCAATTGCTTTGCAGTATTACTTTAGTGCCTTGTTGCAAACATGATGCATGTTTTTGAATATTTTTATTCTGTACAAGCTTCCTTCTTTTCACTCTGTCAATTAGGTTAGTATTGTGGAGTAACTACAATGTTGTTGATCCATCCACAGTTTTCTGTAACTGTTTTAAAATCACAATTGGCCTCATTGTCACGATCGTCAAAAGGATTGGACCAATGCGCAGCATGGAATGCGAACATACTTTATTATATATTCACCACACAAACAAAAACAACAAAACGATACGTGAAGTCATTGGTAACAAACACAAACCAACACGGAACAAGATCCCCCAATACACTGTGCCAAACAGGCTGCCTAAGTATGGTGCCCAATCAGAGACAACAAGCAACAGCTGATTCTCGTTGCCTCTGATTGAGAACCACCCCGGCCATACACATGAACTAGATCCTAACATAGAAACACAAACACATAGAATCTACACACCCTGGCTCAACATATAAGAGTCCCAGAGCCAGGGCGTGACACTCATGGTGAAATCCCTGAGCGGTTTCCTTTCTCTCCGGCAACTGAGTTGGGAAGGACACCTGTATCTTTGTAGTGACTGGGTGTTTTGATACACCATCCAAAGTGTAATTAATAACTTCACCATGCTCAAAGGGATATTAAATGTCTGCTTTTTGTTATTTGTACCCTTCTACCAATAGGTGTCCTTCTTTGCGAGGCATTGGAAAACCTCCCTGATGTTTTGTGGTTGAATCTGTGGTTGAAATGCACTACTCGACTGAGGGATCTTACAGATAATTGTATGTGTGGGGTACAGAGATGAGGCAGTCATTCAAAAAGTATTATTATTCCACACAGAGTGTGTCCACACAACTTATCTGACTTGTTAAGCACAGTTTTACTCCTGGACTTATTTAAGATTGCCATAAGAAAGGGGTTGAATACTTATTGACTCAAGACATTTCAGATTTCTTGTTTTTTAGAAAAAAATCGAAAAACATAATTCCACTTTGACATTATGGGGTATTGTGTGTCGGCCAGTGACACAAAATCTCAATGTAATCAATTTTAAATTCAGGCTATAACACAACAAAATGTGGAAAAAGTCAAGGGGTGTGAATATTTTCTGAAGGCATTGAAAACTGATGGCTGACGGCTGCTCTATGTTGCACAGGGTTGTATAGGGCATTTTCTAATTTGAAACAAAAGTAGAGAGTTATGTTGTAACTGACTCAACAGAACCTCATATCTAGCGACATCATTTACAAACGCAGTATTTGTGTTTAGTGAGTCCGCGAGATTAGAGGCAGTAGAAATTACGAGTTATATTGATGGTGCGTGAATTGGACCGTATTGCTCAATTGCTGTCCTGCCTGAGCATTCGAAATGTAACGACTACTTTTGGGTGTCAGGGAAAATGTATGGGAGTACAAAGTACATATTTTCTTTAGGAATGTAGTGGAGTGAAAGTTGTCTAAAATGTAAATAGTTAAGTACAGATAAGCCAAAAAAATACTTAAAGGTCCAATGCAGACGTTTTCTAAAATCTCAATATCAAACAATGTCTGGGTAACAATGAAGTATACCTTACTGTGATTATTTCCAATTAAAATTTTCAAAAAGAAACAAAAATAATTTATTGCAGACAGCAATTTCTCAATAAATAATTTTGCTAGGACTGTCTGGTAGAGGTTTGAGTGGGGAGGGGAAAATTGAAATTAATTAGCTGTTATTGGTAGAGTGGTTTGGAAGTCTCTTTCTTATTGGTCTATTAACTAATTTACTGCATGGTGATGCATCCATGGAAGGCCAATACTCCCTCCAGCCAAAACAGGCTGACATTTCAGGCGGCCTTTTCAAACAGCTCTTACATTAAAAGGGCATTATCATAATTTTCACAATTTCACAGTATCATTCCAACCTCATAGTGTGGAAATATATATAAATTATAAAACCCAGGAAAATCTAGTTTTTGACTGCACTGGGCCTTTAAGTAGTAGCCTACTTCAAATTATTTTTTACACCACTGCTCAAGTGTGTGTGCTATGTGTTTAGTGGGTGATGGCCTAGGCCTTTTTTACATTCTAGCCTACTTACCTGGATTTAGTTTGGATCAAATTATGAAATAGTCTCTGATAAACAACTCTTCTTGACGCCAAGAGGGGGCTCTTCAGAACTACCATCTGGGATTCGTGGCTCTGGCATTTTTGTCAAATGGTTTATTGCCTTACATTTACACTTTAGTCATTTAGCAGACGCTCTTATCCAGAGCGACTTACAGTTAGTGAGTGCATATATTTTTCATACTGGCCCCCCGTGGGAAACGAACCCACAACCCTGGAGTTGCAAGTGCCATGCTCTACCAACTGAGCTACAGGGGGCCTTCAATGTTATAGTTGACGTTAGCTTTTTTCTGAGTTGTAAAAGCTTTGAACTTCCATTTAATTCAACCATGAGATATAAAACAATTATAACAACGAATTCATAAAATAGCCTACGTTTGATTATAATTTTAATTTTTATATTTCGTTTGATGTTTTACAAGCAAGGTGATGGGCACTTGACTATTGCGTACAGGTTACCCTTCCCGCTGCAAACAACAGTCAATGACTTATATTGATGATTAATAATAATAATAATAATAATATATATATATATACATATATATATTTATTTATATATATATTTGTAATAGGCCTACCTTTTTTTTTTATTCTTGTCATACTTGATGCGTTTACAGGGTGATATAATTCATATATCTGATATAATATTGCGTTTTTACAATTAATAAGTTATAAGGCACCTATAATAAAACTCCATAATAAAGGCCTCTTGTAATTAATGGAAATATAATACGTTTATGTTAAAGTCAAGATATAGATAGGTTGAGCAGATTTTGAATCGACGGTGCTGCTTAGTACAAATACACATACGGATGTGCACGCTAGTATTAGAAATATTGGCGATGAGAATGCGTTCCAAAAAGTTTGTTGATAAAGAATAATTGCAAAACATTTGTTAATGATGAATTTGAACGAAACTATAACCCTATTTAGTTATGGCCTGTAAATGTGTAACTATCTGGCATGGCCAAATGCATCTCGATGGAAAATGCATAGGCTACTAGTGGGTAAAGGATTATTCAATCACAAAGTATAGATAATTTCACAATATGCTTTTTAAAAGTAGATTGTCTTTTCTTACATTATTCTCTGTGCATTTGCAGTTATCCCGTGGTCCCGTTTTTTTTTTTTTTTTGATTGTTGCCTAAATAGTTAAACAGTGTCTGGTTTATTGAACTTTCCAATGACTGTGAAAACGAATGAGTGTATTGACAGATAAAGATTGTTTTCATCACCTGTCATTTCCGATTAAATAGTTAAATAACAGCTAGTCAATAACATTATATTGACTGTGGATAATATTACCTAAAATAATGACAATGAACAAATAAATATGTGAAATCCAATTGTAGTATTATTCATGTTTTTAACACGTTTGAAAATGTCACAAACTATAGTCTTGTTTTATCTCTTTGCCCCTATATAACGTATAGGCCTATTGTTAACTAAATTGCCTAAAGAAATGCAGTGCAAAATTGGAAAATCTTTACTTTTTCAAACCCCTTAGAATTAACGTTCTTCTCTCTGTTATTAAAGGTCCGAGGTGCATTTGCTGAACCCTTTCAAATTCTTTCAACGTGGCCATATTTCACTCTAACAACATTCGTACATCTCCATGAAATATTAGCGCCGTGGTTTGAAGCAGCACTCAATTTGATGACGTCTGGAGCCACTCGCTTTTCTCAGTCCAGGTCCCATCTCACGACGGAAATAATGAAAAAACAACAATGATAATTTGAATAATGAAAAAAAAAAGACATAAGTCTATCTGTTACAAGGTTTAGTTGTCAGCTTGGACATGATGAAGGCTACCAGGCAAAGATAGGGTGTATTGGTGCATCTGACCATTGACAGTGATACAGCTACATTCGCTTATCTGATTTTCTATTGAGTAGGCCAAGTGATACCATCTTTAAGACTCACTACGTTTGTCTAGACCCGCACTAGAAAAAAATAGATTTACAACATAACATGAAACCAAAATAAGGGTCATTGTATATATCTTTTTTTAAATGTATATAACATTTGTATATAGGTCTATAACATTTGTTTACAGCATTTACAGACAATATCAAGATAACCCCACAACAACTAAACAGCCCAATGAATCCCTTATTAATTTCGACTTCTAAAACAGACCATGTAAGCTACAAATAACAGCAAAAATAGGAATTTAGTGTAAAGTTAAGATGATACTTGGCTGCAAAAAAATATCCATTATTGTGGTCAGTTATTTTATCTTGCGCTGAAATAGATTTGATTAATCATTTTCTAAAATGTAAACTTTTGTGAAGTATGCCTAGTCTATATGATTGTTATACATCCACAATCCCAAAACATAAAGCATGCTTTCAATAAATACTGGATGCTTTCAATAAATACTGGATGCGTCTTCTGGAAATGCATAGGCTATAATCGTATCTTCAACATCCTGCAAATCACTGGTAACAATGAAATCACCATACAGCATAGTTGTATTGAGTTTAATGTACTTACATTGTCATCGGTAATGGGTTATATTGTAAATAAATCGTATTTGTCAAATCTTGAAACAATGATTTCTACGGTATGATGCATCATTAATAACAGTACAATACGATCTTGATAGAGTGTGGCTTTGTCCAAGGGACACACATGCAAAGTACCCGAGTGTGTTCCCTCCAATCAGAGAGCGCTCTCACTTAACATTATCCAATGGGAAATATGTGCATGCAGGTTGCTGCGCGGTTATCAGTGCATCGCGCTTCACTCACACCATAGTTCGAGTCAATTTACGAAGAAAGCCGACCCTTATGGTCACCATCAAAACCACTCAAAAACATCATCAGATCCTTCGACTTCCGAGAGGATTCTCGTTGTGGACGCATGCGGCAAACTCACTATTGACAGTCAACCGGAGAGACATTTTTGATCGAACTCTTGTCCGACAACGCAAGAGAACTTCTCTCCTAAAGAAGTGTTTTTGTTTTCTGAAGTTTCAACCTTCAGTGGCTACCGTATCCAGGATATACTTCAGAAGCTCCTGTAGTGGCCTCTGCTTATCGACCAGTCCAGCACCTTTATATGTATTACTTTCCTCGGTTTATTATTATATTTACTCGAGCGAATTTGGTGGTTCATGCTCTCAAATGTTAGCTGTTGGGCAGATGGATGCTAACCGGCAGAGTGCTTTCGTCCTAGGCAGTACACCGCTGGCAGCGTTGCACAACATGACCGAGATGAAGACGTCTTTATTTCCCTACACTTTGCAGAATCATGCGGGCTTCAAGGCGCCTTCTCTCAATCATTTGAACACACAGCTAGCCCTGGGGACACCACATGGAATTAGTGATATCTTGGGTAGACCTATCAACTCAGCTGGACAGCTGCTCTCGGGCTTTCCAAGGATAAACGGCTTGACCACCGCAGGAATGTACTTTAACCCAGCGGCCGTTTCTCGGTACCCGAAGCCCCTGACCGATCTCCCAGGAAGAGCACCCATATTCTGGCCTGGAGTGATGCAGAGCTCCCCTTGGAGGGATCCTAGAGTGCCCTGTCCTGGTACGTTTGCTATCTGGCTGTGTAGAGTGCAAAAATGTTTAAATGCAGCTATAGAAATCTTTATAAATGTTTTCTTTTTTAATTCAGACATCTGTTGAATAGCCTAGGATATTTGTTTATATTTGTTCGGTAACCTATTTTTTGGTTCTCCTTGTAAATAACTGATAATAACTACATATACATAACGAATTCGATGGGCTATCCATTTATATTGTTTCCTTTTTATATTCCGTGTTTTAATTAATATTCTAAGCCTAGCTATGATAGTCAATACGAAGTCTCTCTTGGAGTAAACTCGTGGCAACTGTTTACTACTGATGATGAAATACTAATCACTGTTGTGTTTACATATTTTTGACTAGACTCTTCAATCTTTTTTGTAGCTCAAGCAAACATGATGCTCGACAAGGATGGCAAGAAAAAACACTCCAGACCAACTTTTTCTGGACAGCAAATTTTTGCATTGGAGAAAACCTTTGAACAGACGAAATACCTTGCTGGCCCAGAGAGAGCTCGACTGGCTTACTCTTTAGGAATGACTGAAAGTCAAGTCAAGGTATGTATCATTACTTGAGTCATCTTTTTACATTAATTAATTTGTAGGCCTAAATGTCAATCATCTTAAAAATGAAAATTGGTATGTGGAAGTTCTATGTGTAGTGTGTGTTATTCTCAGTAATTTTTATTATTAGCAGGCTCATTATTATTGCCAATATTGTTAACATTGGTGGTATTTTCCTATGCTGCTATTATGTTGTCATTATTATGCAATTGGAGCTATTAGTAACTTCATGTTTAGAAAGGCCTTTTCTTGGCTCCAACTCAGATAGTAATAACTTTTATGTTGGAAGAATAATTATTACCCACTATAAGTCTTTCTTATAATTGTATTTATTAAGTGTTTAATTGTATGTTATTGCTTCTCCCAATAGGTATGGTTTCAAAACAGGAGAACCAAATGGCGGAAGAGACACGCAGCGGAAATGGCAACAGCCAAAAAGAAACATGACTCTGAAACTGAGAAGATGAAGGAAAGTTCGGACAATGAGGACGATGACGAGTACAACAAACCTCTGGACCCTAATTCAGACGACGAAAAAATCACAAGACTTCTGAAAAAGCACAAGGCTACGAACCTTTCCCTGATCAGTCCATGCAGCAATAGCTCGGACACCTTGTGATGACATTGACAACTTGTCGTGAAGAGACTCAAACACTCCATGGTGCTTCTAAAGCTAATTTAACCAGGGTATACATTGTTGAAATGGAGAGAACGGGCGCTGATGGGTGGTGTGAATGATTTATGTTGTACAAACGAAAATGTAAGTGAGATGTATATATTTTTTACTGAGTAAGTTATGTTATTAAACCAATGTAAACAAGACATGGCAGCCTTTCCCGCAAATCCTGATAAGTATATATCTTCTCAATATTATAGCTTAATTATGTTATATATTGCAGAATAATGTCACCCATCTCTCCACCTTTTACCATTCTAAATTCAATACAGGTACACCAATGTATAAATGCAAATGTTGTAAATTATAATGTAAAAAGCTTGTTTTAACGATTTCAACTCAGTTTTCTTCTATCATTTGAAGTAATTTATGTTTTACCTCATCAAACAAAAATAGAGAACTGGACCATCGTTTATGTTGGAATAAGAGTATTGCTTCTGCGAAGATGGAAGAAAAAAAAACGTTGTATTATGAATAAATTATTTAACAAGCTTTTGTTTTTAAAATGGAATTTTGTTTTTGAATAGTTTTCATTTTCACTGAAATTACTCTTCATTGAATAACCAAATATTTTGACATTGATCGGGACCCACTCAAATACTGAGAAAGGCGGGTCTAAGAAATTATAATGAACGGAAACCTGTTTGCTTCTTCTATCCAAGACCGTCTGAGATGTTTTGGATCACTTTTGTAAACCTTGCTTGCGCAAGTTGGAATAGCTCCATGTTAGTTGCGTTGGTGAAAGTATAGGCCTATACTAAACTAATAGGCCTAGGTCTTGTGAAATTGGCCAACAAGGACAAACTATAAATTACACTTGATATTAGACTACTTGTACTGTTATTCTCAATATTATACTTTTTTTTTTTTTTTTTACAACGGCGTTGTGATTGATGGTGGTGATTAGGCCTAAAAAAATGCTATGCCTATACGTTTACGCATAGAAAGTTCCATAATAAATAGGCTACATATAACATCTGTATTTTTTTCAAATGTCTCTGTATTCCAAAAACGAAATTGTCTACATTTACAAACCCAGATATGGTAATTGGAATGGTGGGTTGCTTATAGGTTATGTTTGCGCCACAACCCCAAATTATTAACCGAAAAATGATCAGAATTGGGCTGCCTGTGTAAACGCAGTATAACAGGCCTATAGGGCCAGGCTAGCTGCAATACCATAGGCATAGCATAATTAGCATAATTACCAAAGTGGAGCCTTACACATCGATCACACCGATAGAAATATTGCATTTAGGTACACCAGAAGTACATCCATTTCCAATGGAACGCTGCGTTTGCCTTGCACCATTGTGTTGCAGAGGCAGTTGCAGTGCGTTCTGTGTGGAGAATACATTGGATTTATCGAACGTATGCATCAAACTGTATGCGCAGACGACTTAACAGAAATGGTAGCAGAAGGTGAATGTTGAACTTTTGTTGCACACATATCCAGATGATGCTGCGTGTCATTTTGCGCAAAACTCTATTGGTGTGATCGCGGCGTTAAGGCTGCATGGTTTAACTTGATGTGATATCAAGAACATCATGGAAGCAGGAATATCTTTGAAAACGTTAATCCCTATGTGCACATAGCTTCTGTAAGATTGTGGCCACTGGCCATGCATGCAAGTTGAGCAAGTTCCACAAATAATAAGGCCTAGTCAATAGCATATTGTTGTGCAATATGCAATGCTGAAGTGATATATGCGCTGGAATATGATGACAAAACACCCATTGAGTTCAAATGGTTTTATTGCTTGAGAACCGCATAACCAACACCATAACGTCAATGGGGTATAGAATCTCTATCTGCTGAAAGGAGTGTACAATCTGCGGCTTCTCTTATCACGTGACCAGGGGAAAAACAAGCAGTTTTGCCTACGAATCAGATCACACTATCAAGACAACAAATTCAGCGGCAGTCACAAAATCATTTCCACTTGCGGTGATTTAGATGAAGAAAAAAAAATAAAGGATCACTCGAACGGCTTCACACAGTCTGTGAACTCTGTAGTGTAGTAAATGAAATCAATAAAAGGAAACCTTCGCGTTCCATCAACAGCCTCCCCTAATCGCTTTTTAATGCTCTAACGAGCGATGAGAGGAACTTATTTGCAAAATAGCAGTGAAGGGTGTTGAAGGCTACATTCAAAATTAAAAAGCAATTCTTCCTGGTCTTTCCCACCTTTAGCGTTTTTTTTGTGTGTGTTTTTTTTTAAAACAATGTATAATCAAGACCTTTATCTATCAGTTGGACTTAACTATTTTATGTTAACTCTTACAGACTTAATTTCTTTGTACAATACTTGGCACCATAATGCATTAACAAACATAGATACCCAAGCCTATCTAAAAACATCACATTCAGAACCATAATATTATTATATAGAAATAAGTTAGAATAATAATAATGAAATAATGTGAGACTGCTATATATGAAACAATATCTTATATACTTGCATGGTCTATGGCACTGCTTAAAACCTCCTTGGATAGGCTATATAAATCATGTTGGCTGCAAAGTTTTTTTTTCTCTCCATTGTAATGTTAGATTCAAAGGTCATGGCTGATGAAACACACATGCAGCCATATTGTCTAGATATACTTCAGCATAACAATTGTGGTAAGAATGATAAATTATCTCTTTAAAAAGTACAGTATATAAAATGAGATTCAGCTGATGTGAGGCATGGCAGTGTTATGCACACAAGTCAGCAATGACAAATAAAAAACCAACAAATAAAATATAAATGAAATTAACGGAAAATATTTACCTATTCTAAACAGTGGGACCACAAAGTTTGGTCAAAAGAGAGAGAACGGCACTAAAACCATCAACAACTCTATGTTATACTGTCCAATGTACAAATAAACCTAACAATATAGATATACAACTTTTTTTGCATTGCACTTTTTAAAAACATCTTACATACTGTATGGATGTAGCTTCTATGTTAGAGGCATACCTAAAATTGCAAATATGGTATCTAAAATAATGTAGTTATGACTAATTTCTATTAGAGTTTTGGCAACAAGGCTGTGACATGGAAAAGAGTTGTCCTTCCTTTCTCTGGGGGAATAGGGTGCGTCGCAATAGTGAGGTCAGTGAGGTGTGTCTTATCGCAAACGTGTCTCGGGTGGGTAGTCCAGATACTGACGTGTTGTGTGGAAAAACAACAGCTTGTATGAATGAGGTGTTAGAAAGACTGCAACTGGTCACCACTGCTGAAAAGTCTGTATAGGGTCTTCAGTGTGTGTGTGTGTGTGTGTGTGTGTGTGTGTGTGTGTGTGTGTGTGTGTGTGTGTGTGGGGGGGGGGGGGGGGGGGGGGGGGCGTTTGTGTGTATCCTGTGTCCAATTCTTGTGTTCTTCTCACAGAGGCGCTTCACACAGATATCTTCTCCACCCTTTGGCACCACTTCCCTGACAAAATAAAGAAGAAAAAACACAGACAATTGAGAATTATGCTTCAGCATCAGGCATGTATTATACAAACAACTACAAAAATGCAATGCAAAAAATTAAGGAAACCGAAGCATAATAAGAATCATATTAATAATACGAATAATAATGACAGTAAAAATCAATAATTAAATAATAATAATAAATAAAAATATTTACCAAGACATCACTGCACGTTACAACACTTGTGCTTATTTGCATTAGCTTTACCTGCCCCGGGTGTTAAACGAAAGGACAGGTAGACAGGCTGCCAGACAGAGGGACACAGAGAGACAAATAAGACCGTTAGCAACAGTCCTGCCCTGAGTGGAAGGGTCAAAGGCAAGGGGGCAAATACAAGTTTAAAGCTCTCGCTCGCTCACACACACACACACACACACACAACCTAAACTCACATACCAGGGGCGCACATATTTTCACCTGCGTGCTAACTACATTGGAAAAAATTTAAACATAGCAGAATGTGATTTTAGCGGCTGCGTGTGGTTCTTGGCCTAGGTCTGGTGGAGTCTCTCTCAGTGCCCAGGTCTCCTCACACACACACACTACTGTCCAGTCCACAGTAAGTAATGATGAAAGACTGAGGACTTCAGCTTTAAGGCGCCTCTCTCTCTCTCTCTGTCAGCCTAACAGCCACTGTCTGACACTACAGACTCGAGGGACTGTGTTAAATACTATCTATAAAGTCAGCATGACAAACTAGCCTCTGATCACAATATGACTGTTCACAGCCAACTTTTGGCACATGCATAAGCAATTGCTGTAATAGGTCAATGGAGTACTAGTTTTGGGTTATGATAAGGTAGTTGTACTAATCTCATTTACGAGTCATATCCTTCAAAATCAAGGACTCTACCGAATTCCATTCATTGAAAATGACTGGAAATCCCAAATTACAACAAAGTGCAAACTTAGTTTTCAATTGAAATAATAGAACATAATGAAATAATGTACTCAATCTCACAATGCAAATCACACATACAAATCCATACACAGACAACCACCCATACCCACAAACACACAACACAACATAACCCAGAAGTGGGCTAGGCCTGTGATGTTACCTTATGGTCCCCCATGCAGACGTTGGGCCCTATATTGTCATAGACCAAGTTCTTCTCCTCATTTTCAGGCTGAGAAAAAAACAAAAACGACACATTAAAATAGTTCTATTAAAATAACAGCAGTATAAAAATGTAAACAAAGAATAACTAAAACATAATTGAGAGAGAAAATATTTCTCCCAGTGGGCTAAATACATTTCATTCTTTGGCATTTTGAGGTCAAATACACATTATTCTGTTTAATTCTAACAATGTTATTACATGAAAATTCTTCTCTTAGACATTTCATGAGGTGTAGGTAAACCTGGTCCTGAAGTAGCCTACCGTTGATTACATATGACTGATTTATAACTAACAGCAGAGTTTTAATGGAGTTAATACAACTTTAGAAACTCAATATTGCACCTTTTACTTGAAGATTGAATACAGTGAATAGACATGAACTGTGTGGAAATCAGTTACCAAGACCATATTTACCTCCCAAACAAATGAGCTCATACAGCATATAAATGAATCATGTTTCCATATTTCACACAAAGGAATTGTCAAACACTGAGACATGAATCTCAGGCCTAGAGTATAATCAATCTTATTTCTCTGGTAGAACTGAATACTTTTTAAACAGCCTGAGAGCCGTCAGCTGTGACTAGGCGAGAAGCGCTTCCACTTGAGAAGAAACAAAGAGTAGCGTCAGAATGGACCATAAACTTAAATCCAAATTAACTTCCAACCTATCCTGCTAGTCTAAGGTCACTGGTGCGCTGGCGTGCACCGGGTACCTCACTCTACCTTTCTGCGGGGCCACGCACCGGTACTTTCCCCAACTGCCTGCCAAACGCATGAGTCGCAGACTCCCGGAGCTCAGGATACATTCATCACAGAGACTTGATCATTTACAAAGACAGCATAAAATGGTGGATTTTCGGCCTGCATAATCTTTAGACAGATAAACAAATTACCGAGGCCCTCCGGCAGAAACAGAGCGCTCGCTCCGCTGAGCATTCATTACCACACTTCCACCCTCCGGTGCTGTGCCGCACAGGCAGCGGGCAACCTTTGGCGTGTTAGGGCTCGGCAAGCAGAAAATAACACGATGGCGAGTTAACCGACCGTGCCATGATAGACGATGCCACGTGGATGCCTGTTTTTCAGGCCAATGTCTTAACAATCTGTAACGCTGCCTTGGAGTGACTGAGTGTGTGTGTGTGTGTGGTGTGGTGTGTGTGGTGTGGTGTGGTGTGGTGTGGTGTGGTGTGGTGTGGTGTGTGTGTGTGTGTGTGTGTGTGTGTGTGTGTGTGTGTGTGTGTGTGTGTGTGTGTGTGCGTGTGTGCGTGCGTGCGTGCGTATGCTCAGTGCATCAGCCAATCTGTGAACATTAGGCGACTCTGCCCACTCCCCTACATTACAAGTAATTAACTTGTAATTGAAAAAATAAATAATTGCAGAACTACTATTTTTAAAACAAACGACGAAGGCAAGTGTTTTGGAAAGGGGGATAAGCCAAACCTTCCTGTAAAGCCACAGTAGATGAGAAGAAAGGCTAGTAAGGAGTTTTTCTCTTTTAGAAAGCCAACTTCCTCTCCCCCCTCCTGTGTTCTGGAGCGCAGAGATGTGAGTGTGGTTGTGAGCAGACTCCCACTGTGAAGTGGACTACTGTACTGGGCTTTTATCCAGGAGACTCCTGCACACACCCAGACCATCAGATACATGGCAGGCACTACTACAGTAGTACAGAAGAGAGGTGCTACTGTGGAGGAAGGGATGCTCTGGTGTTGTGGTCAGTAAAGAGTCTCTCGTCGCCATAGACACTCTACTGTGGAGGAAGGGATGCTCTGGTGTTGTGGTCAGTAAAGAGTCTCTCGTCGCCATAGATGGCAAGTTCCTCCCCATACAGGGACATGTTCAAGAGGGCACACCGTAGCAAAACGATTTGCAACTGAAAGCAAAAATAAGCATGTTTTTAGGGGGACATGTTCAGAGTGTATCTCTCTGTTTCACCCCATTTCGGACAATTTTGTGCCTACTGAACATCTGCCATGCCATGTCAAGGCGGCTGCCTTCACTTAAATTTACAGCTGGCCTCACCGGCGTAATCTAGTCTCATTTATCACATCAGATGCCTTCCAACAGCTCTATTGTCAAGGACTATCTCCAGTTTAATCAAGTGTGAGTGTGCACTTTTAGACACAATACATTTTTCCTCTTGTCACCTTAAAAAGCACAGTAATCAAATAGGTGGACAAACTCAATCTATTCATTGGGCTGATTAAAGCAAAAATGGGACGCCTCAGTGTAAATTGAAATGACAGATTTATACACACTCTTTTGCTGACAACAACCGCAACCAACAGGGAAAACATACCAAAAAGGATGCAGTTGTTAAAGTTGTAGTTACATGGAAAATGGTAAGTTAGGCTGATCGTAAACATGTTAAGAGATGCACTTTGTGTAGATGCCAAGTGCTGAAGAGGTCTTGGATAATGAACACTTTTTCTAACCCCAGATCCGCCATGTTCTCTAAACATCATAGCCAGACGGGAACAACTTTGAGGGACTAGCATGGTAGATATTTCAAGTAATCCAGCAAACAACTGGGGAAAGACAACAGTCTGCAGCCCAAACTGGTGCTGTGCTGACGGGGAGGGAAGGAGAGGTGGCAGATTGGTTGAGAGTTTACAATGCCTCTCCTGGATTTGGGCAGGGTGGTGGGCCACAGCTTTGGGTTCTGCCACTGTGTTGACTCTGAGAATGAGCAGACAGAGGGAGCACAAGATCTCCATCTTTATAGGGCCATTATGGCCCACTGGCATGTTATAAGATCTGGGACATATATACTATCTGTGTGGACCCTGGGCTTAACTCACCGTATGAATATTCACACACAATAAATCCCTCCATCTGGGGGGCTGGCAGAGCATGGGCAGAGCGGAGAGAGAGAGAGAAGAAGTGAGAGTGACAGAGTGGGTTGAAGAAAGAGAGAAGTTGAGACAGAATGTGAAAGAGAGAGGGATGGAGTAAGACTAGATACCATAGACCAAGCGTGTGAAGCTATCCCCGATTGGCAATCCAAGATTTTACATGTTGAATCTAGAATACACCACCGGGTGATGGTCTGTTGGCAGATCAATGACTGTTGGCAGATCGCCATATGTATGTGTCTTGGGCTTCTTAAACTCACCTTTAAGACCAGGTCTTTAGCTGTGGCAGACATGAGGACGCGGTCACACCAAGCAGGGCATCTGGTGTTCATGTACTGCTTTCCCTGACTGCTGTCTTCACTGTACGGATAACTGTGGAAACAAACCCAAAAAACACATCATCATCAGTTACATACAGTTCATATAACAATGGCCCATACAATTGCAATACAATAATCAAGACTTCTGTGTTAATAAAGTGGAAGAAATACAAAGACAATTCGGTGTATTCTAAAGTAGATTGTAAAAGGCATAGCTAACAAAGGAGTTTCTTAGTTAGGGGTTAGAGCACAGAAAAGGAGAGAACATTGAATTCAATCAGATACACAGCTTTGACTGTCTGGAAATAATCTTTCGAATAAACACACATGGATGGATGGCTCAATCAGAGCAATCGTTTGAGGGAAACATTTTCTCTCTCACACACACACACACACACGCTCGCACACACACACACACACACACAAGCTACTTCCCTATGCAGCCATCAAAAAGAGATTAGGGCTGTGGAAAATGGCCAAGTGAGATTGTATCTGGTAACAGGAGGAACAATCGTATGATTTAAGTAGCCCGGGCCCGCCGGGAACCCCATCGAGCCGATGCAGATTTACATTGTTGAGAATTCAATTTAGCCCTACAGCTCATCAAACTGCATTAGATTTACATGCCACCAATCCAATTTGTTTGCGCGGCTCATCGGGATAGGCCCGGGTTTACATACTGTAATACCAATCCAATTTGCTCCTTCAATGCTACACACAGGGCTCACCATGGTGTAATACAACACACGTTTGCCCCGGGGCCAGTAATAAACAATTGACATAACCACAGCCGTCCTATATTATTCTCCATTGTCAAGAGTCTCAGGTGACAACGTTATAAGACTTGAAAGTAACAGTGTATCTGGGATTATGTACTGTAAATGTCATGTCATTATTATGTTTCTGTGTGTGTGTTCTACACCATAATGTGATGCAACACCCTCCCAGTATTCTCCAATCAGTCAGTCAGATGGGTACATATGTCCGAATGAGAGGCTGCTGATTAAATATTTTTGACCTGTTAGCACACAGCTATCGGACACATTCACCTAGCTAACTAGCGGCTGCTACGACACACACAGGCACCTCCTTAGGCCAATCAGCCATGATGTGCAGGGCAGGCCAACATACACTGTCACATGGCAGCAATGAAGGGAGATTGTGTCACTCTCAGGCAGCCAGGCAGGAAACCAACTGCGCAAACAGAGGCCTGGTAAACACCTCCAGGCGCACGCGCGCACACACACACACACACACACACACACACACACACACACACACACACAGCTGCCACAGTTGTGCCATGGCGACCAGTACGACCACAGACCGGGGACTATGGGAGGGCGGACAGGGGTGGGGGTGGGAATAGGGGACGAGAGGTACCCACATCCGGCCAGCACACAGCACCCCCCTGCTGGGTGAACAAACAGGCCTGCAGAGGGCTTCTTACAGAGCACCCAGCCTCCAATTAGCATTAATGGCACTTAAAGCATGTGGAAATGCAGCAGGTTTTGGTATGCTAAAGAAGGGATGAAGGAGGGATCGGCAGGATGAAAGTCTTTCAGAGAAGAGAGGAAGAATAGGATGAGGGATACAGAGCGAGAGAGACAAGAGAGGAGATAAAGAGGGCTCAGACAGTAGAGAGAGAGAGTGCGGGAGGAAAAGAGCAAAGTCTTCAAAGTGGCTCAATCTTCAGGGGTGGCCTGGCTACAGACTCTCCATACAGTAAACTGGCCCTACATGACTATGCTATCACTCTATTGTAAGGGAAATAAAAGGAGTATCAACCTATCATAGCAAATTGCTGTGGAGCACATTTAAAAAACAAAACCACTATCACTTAACTGTTTTTGATAATAAAATAACAATCGGAAAAGATGATTAATCATTGTATAAGGTGATTAACAATACTCAACAATGGCAATTAAAGGATAATTCCACTGCAGGCAGTCTTGCCCTACTCCTCCTCCCATTCTCACCGCACCCTCCAATGGCTCCAATTGAGATAACAGGTCCTAATGCAACAGCAAACATCAGTGGCGGCTTTGGGGAGCACTGTGTGATTAATGTGTCTGATTAGCGCGCTCACAAACGTATCTGAAAGCAAACGGGGCTAGTGGGTGTGCACGCCGGAGCCCGTCAGCTCCTATCGGGCCCTTATTGCCCGCAGCAAGACTAATTACACTAATTAATGGGGCCGAGCTGATAAACTCAACAATCGCCCACCTGTGTGTATGAGTCTACCATGCTTGCTGTGAGACTGAGACCCACACACCCACACACACTCCGTTGGCCCAACTTCGGTCCCTCAGGCAGGTTACTGTGGTGGTACTGCACCTGGCTTAACTACCTAGACCAGAGGTTCACCAGCAGATCTGCTAACAGCTTCTATGAACCACCTGTGTGTAACGCATAATGCATTGTGAATATATTTATATGCATTCATAAAGATGGTTATAAGGAGCCGTGAGCTGGTGCCAATGCTTGTATTGCAACCATGATGCACTATGGGATGACAGAAAGCATTGGAAATGAGGAAGTCAAATGTGCACCTGTACACCATTGAAAACATCCTCTTTTGTTGGGCTATAACCTCTAGTGTAGAGTTCACAGACTTCAACACGGGGACTTCCACATATCTAACATGTCTCTCAAAGCCACCACACCATTACTCATTCTTCATGTGGGGTTTAATGTTTGACTTCCTGCTGTAACATCACTCATATGTTTTTTTCCGGTAAGTGTCAAACGCCTGTCAGTCGTGTGTTTGAGCAGTACAAAGGATTGGCGATGTGAAACCTGGCCCTACTGTGTTTAGTCAGACCTGGGTTCAAATACTATTTGAAATCTTTCAAATACTTTTAGAGCTCTAGCGCTGGAGTGCCAGATGGGTGGGGTTTGTATATGCACTTTTGCAACTATTCTATTTGTTCCGTTGCACCAGGAAGTTCAATCAAGCCCAGATAAAGTATTTGAAATGAATATATATATATACAGTGAGGGAAAAAAGTATTTGATCCCCTGCTGATTTTGTACATTTGCCCAATGACAAAGAAATGATCAGTCTATAATTTTAATGGTAGGTTTATTTGAACAGTGAGAGACAGAATAACAACAAAAAAATCCAGAAAAACGCATGTCAAAAATGTTATAAATTGATTTGCATTTTAATGAGGGAAATAAGTATTTGACCCCCTCTCAATCAGAAAGATTTCTGGCTTCCAGGTGTCTTTTATACAGGTAACGAGCTGAGATTAGGAGCACACTCATAAAGGGAGTTCTCCTAATCTCAGTTTGTTACCTGTATAAAAGACACCTGTCCACAGAAGCAATCAATCAATCAGATTCCAAACTCTCCACCATGGCCAAGACCAAAGAGCTCTCCAAGGATGTCAGGGACAAGATTGTAGACCTACACAAGGCTGGAATGGGCTACAAGACCATCGCCAAGCAGCTTGGTGAGAAGGTGACAACAGTTGGTGCGATTATTCGCAAATGGAAAAAACACAAAATAACTGTCAATCTCCCTTGGCCTGGGGCTCCATGCAAGATCTCACCTCGTGGAGTTGCAATGATCATCAGAACGGTGAGGAATCAGCCCAGAACTACACGGGAGGATCTTGTCAATGATCTCAAGGCAGCTGGGACCATAGTCACCAAGAAAACAATTGGTAACACACTACGCCGTGAAGGACTGAAATCCTGCAGTGCCCGCAAGGTCCCCCTGCTCAAGAAAGCACATATACATGCCCGTCTGAAGTTTGCCAATGAACATCTGAATGATTCAGAGGAGAACTGGGTGAAAGTGTTGTGGTCAGATGAGACCAAAATCGAGCTCTTTGGCATCAACTCAACTCGCCGTGTTTGGAGGAGGAGGAATACTGCCTATGACCCCAAGAACACCATCCCCACCGTCAAACATGGAGGTGGAAACATTATGCTTTGGGGGTGTTTTTCTGCTAAGGGGACAGGACAACTTCACCGCATCAAAGGGACGATGGACGGGGCCATGTACCATCAAATCTTGAGTGAGAACCTCCTTCCCTCAGCCAGGGCATTGAAAATGGGTCGTGGATGGGTATTCCAGCATGACAATGACCCAAAACTCACGGCCAAGGCAACAAAGGAGTGGCTCAAGAAGAAGCCCATTAAGGTCCTGGAGTGGCCTAGCCAGTCTCCAGACCTTAATCCCATAGAAAATCTGTGGAGGGAGCTGAAGGTTCGAGTTGCCAAACTTCAGCCTCGAAACCTTAATGACTTGGAGAAGATCTGCAAAGAGGAGTGGGACAAAATCCCTCCTGAGATGTGTGCAAACCTGGTGGCCAACTACAAGAAACGTCTGACCTCTGTGATTGCCAACAAGGGTTTTGCCACCAAGTACTAAGTCATGTTTTGCAGAGGGGTCAAATACTTATTTCCCTCATTAAAATGCAAATCAATTTATAAAATTTTTGACATGCGTTTTTTCTGGATTTTTTGTTGTTATTCTGTCTCTCACTGTTCAAATAAACCTACCATTAAAATTATAGACTGATCATGTCTTTGTCAGTGGGCAAACGTACAAAATCAGCAGGGGATCAAATACTTTTTTCCCTCACTGTATAAATATTTTTACCCAGGTCTGGTATCACTCAGACTCACCGTCCAGAGAGAGAGAGTGGAAGTGGGCTGGGCCAGGCCAGTTGGGAGCTCTTGTCCCCAGGCTGCAGTCACCCAACACTGGGCAGCGTCATCCCCATTCTGTCATGTCCAACATTTCCTATCTCCCGGCATGACACATAAATGCCGTTATCTTGTTTTACATAATGACAAATAAGTGACAAGCCAAACAGTGGCCAATTGAGTGAACCCGTATTTAACGAGGGAATATAAACTAGAGAATATGGGCAGGGCAGAGAGCCAGAGATAAGATTGGTTACAGTATGAATGACACAAGGGCAGAGGTCAGGAGGGGTATCATGGGGCTAAGGTCACATGACTCAGTGTCATGGGTCTGTATGGACGTAGGGATTGGCTTAGCCATCAAGTTATTTTATTTTCACGGGAAAATAAACTTTTTTTCTAATGATTCACCTCTCCCGCTCAGCCATATTTGTTCACCGTTGTCAGGGGAGGCTTGGCAAAACAAGGCGGGAAACGAGGAGAGACACACCTCCATTTTCATTCACAAAGATCAGCCACACAAACTGCTATCAATAAAACTCCTTGAACGTTTGCTCCACATTTCAGGGTTGGGGAGTCCTCTGCCACAACATTGGCCAAATACAAACACAGTGTCAAATGCCACAGTTTGCTCAGAGGTTGTCTGTGTATTGGACAGACTGCTACATTCTGTCCAAGATGTTCTGTATCAGTGAAGAGCTGCATTTATTCTGCAGCCCCCTTTCCACTCAAGAGGAAGTCTTGAGCGTCTGTTTAACCCTCTCTGTACCAGAGCCATTTAAACAAAGGCTCCCTCTCATCCCAGCGAAGCATCAGCCCAGGGAAGCACACAGACACATGGCCATTGCAAATATATACTACAATAGCCCCTCATCATTTTCAATGGATACCCAGCAGTTAGAATGATGGATGTGTTGAGAGTGTGAAACAATGTTCCTCTTCAGCTGATTGTGTGTGATAACGCTCGATCTCCTCTACACTCCAGCAAACAATATCAGCTGTGTGTGTGTGTGCCTTAGAATCTCTCTCTTGCAGCGCTTAACAAAACAGTGGCTAACGGACATCTCTGGTACTCCATAAACAGAGTAATGCGCCTCTACCGAAGTATAGGAGAACCTTTCAGAGGAGAGGACTTCACTTAGCTTGCCCTGGCCATCAGACACACACATGGGCACGCATACACACAGGGTGACATCACTCTTAAGAGGCCCAGAGGGTGGGATCTCGATGTCTTCCTCATTCTGCAGGGATAGTGGGAGAGTCAGTGTGCCAAGGACTGTTTCCCAATGGGACATTCACAAATTCCACCATTCAATGAGGAAACATCACACTCAGTAAAGCACTGTTATCCAATGGTGAACTGCTGGAAAATCTAACATGGCCATCAAACTGAGATAATGCTTAGCATTCAGCTGCTTGGTTTAAACTGCAGCTTGTTTTCTTCTTTTCTGAGGCAGGGCACAGGGCATATGAACAGACAAGTGTTTTCGAGAGCATGTCCTGGAGAATTGGCAGATCACCATTTATGTCACTGGACCAAATACTATTTCCCCCCCTAAACTGATGGGCAACCGCACGGGCAATCTGTTTTTCTAAAGGTTTTCTTCCGCCTGCATTGTAAACGCTGTGTCTTTTCCCAGGGGGAAGTCAGACTTCGGCCCATCCTCATAGACCAGCCATGTTTGGAAAATGTCTGCTAACGTGCCATGGTTGGTCCCGTGGCGCTCCTGGCTTCCTGTTAAACACCAAACGGTGAAGAGACAACAGTTTATCAGCCCTCCTCCTCGCACACCCTGGCCCTCCTCACCTCGCGACCCCCTGCCCGCTTTGCTCCTCTCGCCCCTCTCCAGTCCTCTCTGCTACTCTCTGTTCCTCCCATCCCTGGCCTGTCTAGACTTGGCAAACACAGACGCATGGGACTGGAGCCATCCTTTCTAGCTCAAGTGTCTTCCCATCTTTCTCTCTTTCCACTCTCTCTATCCCTCTTTCCTCCACCCTTTTTTTTGGAGTAGTCGACTCATGGGGCTGTATATTGATGGAGTTAGAACCCCAGTCTGTCTGATGTCACTCAACATCTCCCTCAGAGCCCATTCAGGGTAATCTGGTTAAAGCAGGAAAAAGATTCTTCCCCTACTCTCTCATTGTTCACTGAATTTCTCCCGCTCCAGGTTTATATTACATTTTTGCATCGATCTTAGACAAAAAAAAGAGCAAATAAATCAGATAACGGGCAGTACTAAAAGCATTCTCCTAAATCAATCAAAATATATGAATAACACAAGTTACTCAGCCTCCTTGGATGTTTTGGGGAGATTACCTTAGCTATGCTATTCCAGCAAACATAATCAGAAATGTACCATTTCAAGTTTACCATTCAGTTATTTTGAGTCTTGGGGCCATGCTGTCATTTGTTACAAAGATGATAGTCTTAACCTTAGCACCTTTCTTGAAATTGCTCAGAAGAGCGGGTGGGGAATGGATGGCTCTAACTATTTTTATCATGTGATTGGTTTCCAATTGATAAACTCGTCTTGAAAGACTGTGCCCCACTCCCAACTACCAAACTCGCAACAGATATAGCTTTTTACCATACTTGTGTGTGTATGAGTGTGTGTGCTTCTGTGTGAATGGGATACCCCTCAGCCTATCGGCGTGCGGCAGCCGGCTGGCACCAGGTACAACTCTCGCGGGCTACGGAGAAATTCCACACCCCTGTGGCCGAGTGCTTAGACATGTCACGGCCAACTTTGACAGACGATGTCTTGAAGGTGAGCGATATGAATCTACAGCTTGTAGCAAATTCCATAAATGCAAACACGATGCACGAGAACGTATGGGACAGACACTGAAATAATGTATAGTCTCAATAACACTATAGTGTCTTATTCTAAAAATGGAATGGAACCTCCAGTTTGGGGTGATTGAGCTTTTACTGCAGCCTGGTGGAGGTGAAAGGGGATCATCATTTTTCGCTGTTACACATTTTCACAACGTCATACACACAACTCTGGCCCTGTATTCATAAAGCGTCTCAGAGTAGAAGTGCTGATCTTGGATCAGCCCCCCCCCCCCCCCCCGTCCATACAATCTTACTCATTATTATCTAAACAGGCTAAACTGATCCTATACCAGCACTCCCACTCTGAGACGCTTTGAAAATACAGACACTGATCCCTAAACCAAAATAATTGAGGGTTTGATGAGATCTTTATCCCTGGCAACATGCTAAATTACCTCAAATTCAGCAACAACTAGGCTATGGTTATCCACTCGATTTCACAGGTGGACATAGACTTCCACATGCAGGATTAATTTATAGAATAAACAGTATTGAACAGTATTGATTTATAGATTGAGTGTAAGCAAGCATGTGTGTATGTGTGTGTGTGTGTGCGCAGGGGGCCTCTGTGGCTTGTGTTAAGGGAAGTAATAACCTCACAGATGGTGAAGGGCTGTTCCGGAGCAGGCTATGTGATGGAGAACAATCATTGAGTGCTTGATTGCTCATAGAGCACAAGGATGATCTGACAGGGGGAGGGGACAAGTATGTATGCGGAGTGTGTATGTGTTGGTGCAAGTGTGTGTTATGTGAATGGGAGGAGAGGGTTGCTTAAGTTTAACTATGCCATTTCTACTCATTAACCACTGTGGCTTGTATCAGACACTGAGTAGATTGAATCAAATTTCATATGCTATGCCGAGGTTTTATCAATTTGATTAATCATGTCCCCATTAGGTGAAAATCATTTGTATTCTTTCACAGTAGCCTGTTCATTCACTCGGCAGGGAGACGATGATTCAATATTATATTATGGCTAGATAGGTGCAAAAGTCACTGAGTGTAAAAGGACAATAAATCCAGACGTCACTTATGCAAAGAGATGTAAATGGGGTCCCTGATTAAGACACGGAGTAATTTAAAAACAGTGACTGGCAGGACCTTGACACACACACACACACACTCTCCCCACCGGTCCGGCTCCACGCTCGCCACTAGAGCAGTTTATCAAGTAATTATTGTTTGATTACAGCGTTTCATTATCTGCACTGATTGAGTCACAACTGACAAAGGTCAAGCGCCATTATCGCGGCACCGCCAAAACATATTCCCACGCAGGCCGCGTGTGTGTTTGCCCTCCCTCTGCTTTGAAAGGGCTAATTGCAAACGCATTTGTTTGAGGAAGAGGAGATGAGTAGGACCCCCTCTCCATGGTCCCCCAACTCCCACCGCGACAGAATATCAATGCAGTCCTCTTCACACACAAGCAAGAACACACACACATACACGTGCATGCAACCACACAAACGCACACACACACACGTACACACCCAGGGGAGCAGTTTAGAAGCACATCCAATCATACTAAACAATTGATAACCATTAAATATATATTTGGCACAAACAAAACCATTTGGCCCAAGAGGGATGATTGAGTAATGTTAAGGCCCCATCCCATTAATGGAGCAAAACATCAGCCTGTTTGTGACCTGCTGATTTACTCTGCTCTTCAGCGACGTGGTGCTGTAGTAAGGTTAGTAGTATAGTCCACTTCTTTTTATAACACACCTTACCAATGGATAGAATGAGTCCTTCCAAAAAGTAACTCAATCTTTGTACACCGTTGACTGAATCCTGGATAACTAAGTAACTACCGACTGTAACTAGCACATGGTTAGAATGAGAGATGAAGGATATGAGGGGTAGGCCCACCATTTCATGGCCAATGATAGTGAAGGGCAGAGTAGGCACTTTAAGGGGTAATAGACAGGGGTAGTAGGTAATATACAGGACAATAGACAATAAAAGGTAGGTACCAATACAGGTACCAATTAATGTGCAGGGTAATAGATAGTTACAGCTCTGGAAGACCTTCATTGTTTTAATTGGTGTTGATTGTGTCTTGTACCATACCAATATGGAAGAACTGCCTCTTTAAATAACCACATCAGTCAGTATTTAGTGGTACAAGAAATCCAATAACCAAGAGCACAAGTACGATAATATACATGTATTTTCCTAAATAACAGGAGTGATTGAGTTGAATAGGTATGGTTCATATAAACAGTGATTCACAAGGAAACACAGAGGATTCCATACCTGGGAGGAAAGGCGATCTCCAGCTCGTGCAGCCGTTCCTTGAAACAGGACAGCTCACTGTCAAACTGTAAAAACTGGGAAGAGAGAGAGGGGAGGAGGTGAATGAAAGGAGGAAGAGAGAGATACAGTGCATACAAAAAGTATTTCCTCCCCTTGACTTTTTCAAAACGTAGTTGTGTTACAGCCTAAATTTTAAATGGATTAAATTGAGATTGTGTCACTGGCCTACACACAATACCCCGTAATGTCAAAGTGGATTTTATTTTTTATTTTTTACTAATTAATAAAAAATGAAAGGCTGAAATGTCTTGAATCAATAAGTATTCAATCCCTTTGTTATGGCAAGCCTAAATAAGTTCAGGAGTAAAAATTAGCTTAACAAGTCACATATATTGGACAATAATAGTGCTTAACATTGTTTTTGAATGACTACCTCATATCTCTGTACCTCACACATACAATTATCGTTAAGGTCCCTCAGTTGAGTAGTGAATTTCAAACACTGATTCAACCACAAAGACCATTGGTAGATGGGTAAAAATAAAAAAAGCAGACATTGAATATCCGTTTGAGCATGGTGAAGTTATTAATTACACTTTGGATGGTGTATCAATACACCCAGTCACTACAAAGATACAGGTGTCCTTCCCAACTCAGTTGGCGGAGAGAAAGGAAACCGCTCAGGGATTTCACCATGAGGCCAATGTTGACTTTTAAAAAGTTATAGAGTTTAATGGCTGTGATAGGAGAAAACTGAGGATTGATTAACAACATTGTAGTTACTCCACAAGGCACTAAAGTAAAACTGCAAAAAATGTGGCAAAGCAATTCACTTTTTGTCCTGAATACACAGTGTTATATTTGGGGCAAATCCAATACAACACATTACTGAGTACCACTCACCATATTTTCAAGCATAGTGGTGGTTGAATCATGTTATGGGTATGCATGTAATCGTTAAGGACTGGGGAGTTTTTCAGGATAAAAAATAAACAGGATGGAGCTAAGCACAGACACTGGGATATGAATTCATCTTTCAGCAGGACAATAACCTAAAAAACAAGGCCAAATCTACATTGGAGTTGCTTACCAAGAAGACAGTGAATGTTCCTGAGTGGCTGAGTTACAGTTTTGGGTTAAATCTGCTTGAATGTCTATGGCAAGACTTGAAAACATGGTTGTCTAGCAATGATCAACAACCAATTTAACAGAGCTTGAAGAATTTTTAAAATAATAAATGGGCAAATATTGTACAATCCAGGTGTGCAAAGCTCTTAGTGACTTAACCAGAAAGACTCACAGCTGTAATTGCTGCCAAAGGTGATTCTAACTTAGGGGTGTGAATACTTATGTAAATTAGATTTCTGTATATAATTTTCAATATATGTTTTCATTTTGACATTATGGTTTATTGTGTGTAGATGGGTGAGAAAACCCCCAAATGTAATCCATTTTTATTTATTCAGGCTGTAACAACAAAATGTGGAATAAGTCAAGGGGTTTGAATACTTTCTGAAGGCACTGTAGTTATAAATAAAGGGTGATATTTTTTATTACAGCAAGTAATATCCTCTGCGTCAGTCATCACTCACTGAGTGAATAACTATGAGAGTGTGAGTGTGTGTGGCTCCTGTATGCATGAGTAAGTGTCAGATAAATGTGTTAGCTTCCTTTCTCTCCTTTTTTGATGTGTGGATTTGTGCCTTTACCACCATACTGTATAAGTGTCATGAACAGTGTGGTGGTACATAAAGGCATGTGTGTGAGAACAGTTGACCAGTGTTGATGTGTGTGTCCCTGGCCTTGCTATTCCAGAGCCATCCCTGTCCTGTCCTATCACAGCCCCCAGTCTGCTGCTGAGGGTGGAGCTCTGTCTCTCTAAGCTGACAGTGGATCCAAACAGTCTTCAATCATGTCCCATCCCCCAGCTGCACTACCTCTGACTGCACCAGCACCGACTTACACCCCCGCTCCCCCCTCCATCTCCCCCCTCTTCCCAAATCCCATAAATCATTAGTGAGAAGTGCAATTAGCAGCTCCTTATACACACTAATTATCTGGGAGATGAGCAGGTAGCAGGGGCACCTGCATTGCTGACTCCCTGAGCAACGGACAGATATCTGGGCAGCCCTGTGAAAGTGGGCTGTATTTTAACAAAACTAACGCAATGGTAAATCTAAGGTCTGGCGGTAGCGTTATAGGTTCGGAGGTGTAACAGAAATATTTTTGCTATTTTCACAACTTATTTCACAACTTATTATGAACGCAATAGCTGGTGGTAGTGTGAAAGGGCTGGGTTTAGATGAATAAACAAGTTGTAGGTGTGACGAGGGGCTTGGCCACTCACTGGCCAATCAAGGCGTTCCATGGCTTAATACTGCATGCGTTAGTCTCAAGTTCTGTAGGTTATTGACAGTCTTTACGTTGTCATCAACTCCAATTCGGCTGGACAGCGGCCCCCCATTAAGGCGTTAGGGGCGGCGCCCCACTTGTAATTGGTTAAAATATATATATATATATATATATATATATATATATATATATATATATATATATATATATATATATATATATATATACACACTTGTGATTGGTCAAAACATTTGTGTTTATTTTATAATATATATAATTCATGGATTATGTTTTAAATGCTCATAAAAGTGCGGTAAATGTGTACGTTTTCCTGTTTCAAAAATATATTGTTCAAAAGAAGCTGTTCAGTTACTACTCTGCCCTTCAGTGACTGCCAGCAGCAGCAGCTCCGCCTCCACGGGCGCATAGGCCGTGTGAACATTGCTTGGATTGTTTTGCCAGATATGCTATGAGTGGGGAACTGCCCCAATGAAATCACAGGATTTCAAAGCATAAATTATAACAGCACAAAGTAAATGGACCGTCGTGGGGCTATCAAATGTGTGTTCAGTCAGAACTTCTGGGTCTGCTTTATTTTCCCTCCCAATATGTCTCTCGCGCCAGACTGCTTACTTCCGCACGTGCGACTAGATTTGCTCTATCAGGTACAGATGGCGCTCAAGCAAAAAGCTAATTGTAATTAACTTGTAAAAAATTATCATAACAGCCATGGGAGCCTGGGACCTGATAAACCAGACATCAACATCCAACAAGAGTCGAAGGTCAGAGGGATACAATAGCTAGAACCTTCTCATCGCGGATCTGGTAGGACAATAAAGCATGACAGTGGCTTATTGTTTCCCCCCATGTTGTTCATCAGGTTCTACTGTAGGTGACAGTGACATGTTGTGTGGACCAAAACATCGTAAAAACGGGTGCATCACAAAGCATGATCAACTTAATTTGCCGTATTACTTAACAGTAATTTTGAGAAACAGTTAGGTCGATTTTTGGGTCAAATTAACCAGTTTTTGCTGCAAACAGGATGCATTTGCCTGGTTCCACTCTAGGTTTCTTTCAGGGTTCCTGCCTTTCTATGGAGTTTTTCCTAGCTACCATGCTTCTACATCTGCATTGCTTGCCGTTTGTGGTTTTAGGCTGGGTTTCTGCTGATGTAAAAGGGCTTCATAAATACATTTGATTTGATTTGATGCATGTTCTGGAATATGTTTATTCTGTACAGGCTTCCATCATTTCACTCTGTCATTTAGGTTAGTATCGTGGAGTAACTACAATGTTGTTGATTCATCCTCAGTTTTCTCCTTTTCACAGCCATTAAACTCTGTTTTAAAGTCACCATGGTGAAATCTCTGAGTAACTGAAGTTAGGAAGGACGCCTGTATCTTTGGGACGCTTGTATCTTTGTAGTGACTGGGTGTATTGATACATCATCCAAAATGTCATTAATAACTTCACCATGCTCAAAGGGATTTTAAATGTCTGCTTTTTTATTTTTACCCATCTACCAATAGTCTTTGTGGTTGAATCTGTGTTTGAAATTCACTACAGTTGATTAAAAAGCATAGGCTACAGTAATGAGTGATAGCAGCAATAAAAAAATATTTAAAAAATCCAGTGCTCAATATGTTTGGAGTGTTGACAGTTAACATTGTTGTAATTTTCTTCAACAAGTATAGGCCTTTACGCAATGCAATTCAATTGGCACGTTCTAAATAAGCAAGATATAGCCTTGGCCTACCATTTATATGGGGTTATAGGACAGAACATTTTGAATAGCCTATGTTTGGAGTAGCGCGTCTTTGGTAACCGGACAAGTGGCGCTCTTTGGAAATGGGGATGGATACAAGCCGATTGGAGTATGCACTGCAGGTAGGCTTATGTGAATTGTGAATAATGCAAAAGCATGTTGGCAAAAACCTCAGGAGTAGACCATTTAGAAACCTTTTATGGATAGGCTCCTTGGCTAATGCATGGCCATGATAAGAAAGACACCAGACGCATTGCTGTTGAACCAGCTTCGATTATAGTAGGGTAAGTGGAGCCTCCTATAAGGGCTTGTTTTTAAATAAAACAAAATGGAAAACAAGCAATTGTTACAGGAAAATAACTTAAACGTTTCTAAATACGAGTGTTACCGGATTATCTCATCTCTCGTTCCATGGTGGGCATATAGCCTACATGATCTTTTAGGCTTTGGTTTAAGATTTATTTCAAAGTGGTCTCACGAGCCAAACCCTTTATAGATAGTCTTGACTACTTGGCGAATGCATTGGGTATGACAAAAAAAACTGCCTTAATTGAGAGGAGGGGAGGCTATGCTTGGTTTTTAATAAAATGAAAACGAAATGGGAAAAAAACAGATTTTTATGTTTCTAAATACGAGGTTTACGGGCACAAAGAGCACATATCTCTTGTTCCATGTGCATATGGGCACTGTGCGTCACGGCTGGATAAGCTGCGCTTCTGCTGCCGGTTGGTCTTAAATGTCCCCACCAAATTGTCACTTTGGCGCACGTTTTTAAGGACACACCTCAAATATTGCCACGCCTCCCACTTCAGCGCAAGCAACCTCATATAAAACAGGTAAATTACCAATCCTGCAACTAGGGTTTGAAAATAGAAGAGTGCCGGCTTTAACAGGACGAGCATGCGTTTGACAATTGGCTGGCTTAACGCCAGCCGGAAATAGAGCTGTGTCTGATGAGTTCCTCTACACTGCCTGTGTCAGGCTGACAGTACATATAACGCTAGTTTGACAATAATGACATTACACTGCTGTACGACATGTAAAAATGGAGTGAATGGAATGTAATCGCCATCTAGATGATAATGTACTCTCCATCTACATGATAATGTACTCTCCATCTAGGTGTAATAACAACAGCAATAATATTTAGAGGAGATATCTATCCAAACAGAGGCCAGGCCAGGAGAAGAGGAGTGTTACCACACCAGTGGAGTACAATAACAGCCATCAATCCACAAACCCATTTGTAAACCAGATGAAAACTTTATTGGTATTTTTACATACATATGTGGGATAAATGTACATGAGTGTGTATGTCTGGAGCCTGTGCAAGTGTGTATGAGCGAGTGCTTGTGGGTAAGTGTGGGTAGCCTACTCCCTAATTTATGCATGCTTATGTGTAAAGTGTGAGCAGCTGTGTGTTTCTGTGTTTCTGTGTGTGTGTGTGTGCCAGTAGTGTAGAACAGTGGCCATTACTTTCCAGGCAGTGGGGCCCTCAGACAGAGTCTCTGTGGTTCAGGAGGGCAGACGTGCAGCATTCATCAAACTCACAGAGACAGGGTCACAGGAGAGCTCACACACTGTGAATGAGGAATAGAGCCCAGAGGATGCGCTACACGCTTCACTGTGCACCACCACCACCATCCTCCCAATGACACGCTTGGCTCCAAGGGTGTGTGTGTGCAGAGAGACCTTGTGTGGAAGAGTGTGCCAGCATATTAGTTTATAAAGGTGCAGTATGTAATTGTCCCTGTGTGTGTTAGTGCCTCATATCTTTGTTTTTCTTACCCTAATAGAATACCTGTGTATGTGTACACTGGCCTTTTTCTGTGAGTGTGTGTGGACAAGTGTGTTTGTCTCCATGGAGAGTTAGTGCAGTCGAGATGAGAAGTGACACCTTTAAAAGGCAGCAGATGAGCAGTGTTGGGGATGATGAAGCACGTTGTGTTTCCATGATGTGTGTGTGTGTGCACAGAGCTTTTAAGTGAATGTTGAGTAATTCATTTAGGTTGACTAGAAACCCTAGGGCTGAAATTTCACACTACATTTCATCTCAGGTCAATTAAGCATAATGATGTGCTGGTATGGTAGGTCAGCAGTAAAAATCCCAGCTTATATTGGTTCAAGGCCTCGTTGCATTATAAAACCTGCCCAGTAGTTTGTCAGACCGAAATGACCTTGGAGTTGTTGGAGAAGGCTGCTAGCCGATACGGCTCGGGCAATATCGTAGACAAGGAGAAAGATGAGGAAGTGCAGGGTCCAGATTTCTTGCTTCGCCTCGATGACCAACACACACCTAAATCACGCTAGCTGTGATTGTTATAAGAGGGAGAAGTTGCAGGAAGAGGGAATAAAAGGTCTCTGGGCTGACTGTCCCTCCAACCCGGCCTGTGGTTGTCCAAGCTCATAATTGTGCTTTGATTTACACCATGTCAAACTATCCCTCTGACAACACCTGCTGCCATTAAAAGCCATCAATACACACAGAGGTGAAAGGTCATTTAATTTTATTTTTACGCCGCACACTTGGCTTATATTGCCAGGCCATATTTTTTCTTAGTTTTATGAAATCTTCATTATTTGGTGTCTCTGACAGGGAATGGCCGAGCGCCTTGAGAGGGTCAACCCAAACAGCCAACCGGCGAGAGGCTACAGTCCTATTATGCTCTCTCTCTATCATATCAATTGCACAATACCTTAACATCTTAAGGGGAATTGATAATGAACTCATTTACTTACACTATATATACAAAGTATGTGTACACCCCTTCAAATTAGTGGATTCGGCAATTTCAGCCACACCCGTTGCTGACAGGTGTATAAAATCGAGCACACATCCATTCAATCTCCATAGATAAACATTGGCAGTAGAATGGCCTTACTGAAGAGCTTAGTAACTTTCAACGTGGCACCGTCATAGGATGCCACCTTTCCAACAAGTCAGTTCGCCAAATTTCGGCCCTGCTAGAGCTGCCCGGTCAACTGTAAGTGCTGTTATTGTGAAGTGGAAACGTCTAAGGCTCAGCCGCGACGTGGTAGGCCACACAAGCTCAAAGAACGGGACCGGCGAGTGCTGAAGCGCGTAGCATGTAAAAATCGTCTGCCTCTGGAAGCAACATCAGCACAAGAACTGTTCGTTGGGAGCTTAATGAAATGGGTTTCCATGGCCGAGCAGCTGCACACAAGCCTAAAATCACCATGCGCAATGCCAAGCGTCAGCTGGAGGGGTGTAGAGCTCGCCGCCATTGGACTCAGTGGAAACGCGTTCTCTGGAGTGATGAATCATGCTTCACCATCTGGCAGTCCGAAGGACGAATCTGGGTTTGGCGGATGCCAGGAGAACAATGCCTGCCCAAATGCGTAGTACCAACTGTAAAGTTTGGTGGAGAAGGAATAATGGTCTGGGGCTGTTTTTCATGGTTCGGGCTAGACGACAGCATACAATTACATTTTAGACGATTCTGTGCTTCCAACTTTGTGGCAACAGTTTGGTGAAGGCCCTTTCCTGTTTCAGCATGACAATGCCCCCGTGCACAAAGCGAGGTCCATACAGAAATGGTTTGCCGAGATCGGTGTGGAAGAACTTGACTGGCCTGAACAGAGCCCTTACCTCAACCCCATCGAACACCTTTGGGATTAATTGGAACGCCGACTGCGAGCCAGGCCTAATCGCCCAACATCAATACTCAACCTTACTAATGCTCTAGTGGCTGTATGGAAGCAAGTCCCCGCAGCAATGTTCCAGCATCTAGTGGAAAGCCTTCACAGAAGAGTGGAGGCTGTTATAGCAGCAAAGGCGGGACCAACTCCATATTAATGCCCATGATTTTGGAATGAGATGTTCGACGAGCAGGTGTCCATATACTTTTGGTCATGTGTGTATTCCCAGACCTGTGTCAAGGGCAAAAACACAATAGTACCTTTTCCTATAATCCACATTTTGCTCGTAACTGTTTGTCATTTGCAGAACAAAACATTGACTGGGTTGCATATATAGGACAGGCCAGACCTGGACATCAACATACAGTACAGTATGTTCATACAGTAATATATATGCTATATACATCATGATCCGACTGAGGAACTGATCAATACTAGTAAAAGCACAATGAGCCTTTCAGTGTAGCGAGGCACTCCGGTAAGAGACAGCACAGGAGCCCATTCTCCCTGGTCTTCCATGTTTATCTTCCCAGCTAAGGTCACACATTTTTTTGCATTCTGCTGTATTACCACTTTAGAGAACTGACAGGTAAAATATGAAAGGTGATTGATCTTTATTTATATATTTATTTAGTTCATCTGGAAAACTCTTGCGGCTTGAGTAATGTTGCAGGTACGCAGGGAGCATGACAAGGAAGAGTGGCCCTGACAGAAAAGTTCATCACTCGCAACAGGACCCCAAAACCCCCCCTCTTTCCCCAGGACGTCAGCTGATACCACAACTGATAAAGTTAGAATAAAAAGATACTGAAACAAAATCAATGATGGAGAGGGGAGGGAGGCGACTGGATGGACGATGCGATACTGGATAGATAGGACACAGAATCCGTGTCCACGGGGACATATATCCCCCCCGCCCGCCCCCTTTACCTCCGCCCCTCCGTTGAGGAGCAAGTCCCTGTGCCGCTCGACGCCACGACTCCCGGAAAATGTAATCTTCCCAAATACTCATCAGGGCTCTCCATCGTCCCGGCCTGACAGCGGCGGGGATAATTAATTATACAATTTCGATGGGAATATTGATTAAACAAACCTATTAATCATAGCAAAAGTCAATAGGCATGGACACATTCAATCATGTCCCGACCAATGATTACTCCTCAAAATACAATAATTATTTTTGAGAGCTGCCTCAAATTAAATTTCTGTCAAGCTGGTACAAGTCTAGTAGTTGATGAAAGATGCAATGGATTTTTTTTACTCCTCCGAGGGTTGCAGGGGGGAACATTTATCCTTTTGGAAAGGTAGTTTGTTTTATAAGGATCATAACATGGTGTGTTTAACTAGACCATGACCATCAGATTATCTCTGATCCCCCATTACGCCATTTATCTTGCTGAGCTCTGCAGGGAAGAGGGAAAGGGGGAAGTTGGGGCCTCCTGAGGCCCAAACACACACCACATAAACACACACACCAATACTAAAACAGAGACACACACACAGACAGACACTACTTGAAGAGTCATATGTGTCACATGGATTATTGGCTATTATAATAACATGGTCATTAGGAGTCCTGATGTGTGTGACATAAGGCTTACGTCAGCGGAGGCTCAAAGAATTACATTAAAATAATTATCCTTTTTAGATAAAACTACACTAAATATATTCACGTCACCAAATAACTGATTAAAACACACTGTTATGTAATGAAGGTCTACAGTAGCCTCAATAGCACCCTCTATGGTAGCACCATGGGGTAGCTGGAGGACAGCTATTTTCCATCCTCCTCTGACTTCAATACAAAATCTAGGAGGCTCATGGTTCTCACTCCCTTCCCTAGACTTACACAATAATTATGACGACATCCAGAGGACGTCCTCCAACCTATTATAGCTCTTGTAGTATGAACTGACATTTTGTTCATCCAATTAAGGATCAGATAATTAATCTAGTACTGAAAGCATATGCTACAGATAGCTAGCACTGCAGTGCATAAAGTGTGGTGAGCAGGTTGACTCGGAGAGAGAAAGACAATAGTTGAACAGTTAAAATTTCTTCAAAAAGTAAAGAGGAGCAGCAAAGAGAGAGCTAGCTATATTTAGTAGTATTTTTTTTCTTCTTAGTTTAAATTTCACTTACTTAGCTAATACAGCTAATTTAGCATACTCAACAACCCGACTCAAACAGAGAGGAATGCTATGTATGTTAGCTAGCTGGCTAAGGCTATCCACATTGCAACTCTTCCAAGTCAAGGTAAGCTTCGGTTTTATTCATTTATTGCCACCGGGGCCCGCCGGTGTAACTGCTAAACTGCTTGCTGTACACTACTGCGTGATGTACACGGTTTGGATTGTGGGTTTACTAATGTGTTAGTTCTAGTTGGTTGACTATAGGCTGTTTAAATCAAATCAAAATCAAATCAAATCAAATTTTATTGGCTACATGCGCCGAATACAACAGGTGCAGACATTACAGTGAAATGCTTACTTACAGCCCTTAACCAACAGTGCATTTATTTTAAATAAAAAAGTAGAATAAAACAACAAAAAAGTGTTGAGAAAAAAAGAGCAGAAGTAAAATAAAATAACAGTAGGGAGGCTATATATACAGGGGGGTCCCGGTGCAGAGTCAATGTGCGGGGTACCAGCTAGTTGAGGTAGTTGAAGTAATATGTACATTTACATTTTACATTTTAGTCATTTAGCAGACGCTCTTATCCAGAGCGACTTACAGTTAGTGAATACATATTTTTTTATACTGGCCCCCCGTGGGAATCGAACCCACAACCCTGGCGTTGCAAACGCCATGCTCTATCAACTGAGCTACATCCCTGCCGGCCATTCCCTCCCCTACCCTGGACGACGCTGGGCCAATTGTGCGCCGCCCATGAGTCTCCCGGTCGCGGCCGGCTGCGACAGAGCCTGGATTCGAACCAGGAGCTCTAGTGGCACAGTTAGCACTGCGATGCAGTGTCTTAGACCACTGCGCCACTCAGGAGACTGAGTACATGTGGGTAGAGTTAAAGTGACTATGCATAAATAATTAACAGAGTAGCAGCAGCGTAAAAAGATGGGGTGGGGGGGGGCAGAGCAAATAGTCCGGGTAGCCATGATTAGCTGTTTAGGTTAGCGGTTATGGTATGAAGGTTTGACTTGGAGGGGTTTTTGCACCTGGTCACAGACAGCTGTTGTGTTGTGCACTGAAGCCCACAAGTGAAGAAAAAGGTGAGAGGAGGAGAGCGTGTAGAAGCGACAAGGAATTATACAATGAGCAGTGATGATGGGATGATGCTGTATGTGGCTGCTATGAAAGTGAACTGTGTGTGCAGGTGATCAGGGGTGTATTCAATATAAACTATTGTTTTACATTTGCTGCAGAAAAGTCTATGCTATAGTAATATAAAGTCCGAATGCGCATCTAATTTACCTATCTCCATCTGTCTTTCGGGGATCACCTTATTTTTTTACTGTACAGATGATCATTTCTTTAATTGCAGCTGCAGAGTTTTAAAACAACCTATCACTCTAATATTGTTGCTTTAAATTAGTGCACGCGTGAGCACTCTCTCGCATTCTCTCTCTCCATCAACTCCATTCAAATTGCATCCAAAATAGATAATCCTGTTCTAGATTGATATATAGCCCTATATATAGATGTCCTAGCCTACCTCTTTCGGGTAATGCATTCAATGCAGTATTAGCCTTATATTTAGCTAATTAATGCTGGGTTATGCATAATAAGCTTATAACGTATCTGTCTCTTGTGCAATACACACGCACCTGTGCTCTGCTGGCCTCTCGCCTTAAAAAACATTCCTTAGCTCTTGGAGTCCCATGCAGGAAAAGCTACACTAGAATAGCTTGCTGGACATTCATTTTTAGCATTTCTTATACCAATAGACTATTAAAATAGGGATGCAAGCGCTTGTTTGCTAAATGTTAAATACAGCAGTCAATAGAACCATAGCCGCGGGAAGTAGGGGTGTTGAGGGTGCTGCAGCACCCCCTGAAAAATCGGAATCACAAAGAAAATAAAAAACATAAAATAAATAAGAGTCGTTCACTGGGCCTTTACTAGTCCTGTATTAGCGGACCGATATAGCAGTCTGTAGCGCAACCCCCCCCCCCCCCCCCCCCCCAAAAAAAATTATAGCACTGCAATATATCCCAGTTTATTGCATAACTCGTGCATGCATTGGATTGCAATGGTGCGGTAAAATAATTCAGTCCAGGCTAATCCAAGTCCAGGCTAATCCGGAGGAGTTGTCCATGGTGCTGTCATTCAAGGTTCTTTATTTACCCTGTTCGTAATGAGCACAGGAGGGTTGCATTATGGCTTCTGCTCAGATGTATGAAGCCAGCGGGGAACACATGCAGCATACAGATGCCACCGGTTACAGACCTACCACAGATCTTACTTGCAGTGGTGTAGTGCTATTTGAGGGAGGGAGCGCAAAAAATATGGAAATGACATCATCATTTCCTCAATCAATCTGTACCGACAGATATAGCCTATGAAATAGCATATCATTACAGGGCTCTCCAACCCTGTTCCTGGAGTGGTACCGTCCTGTAGGGTTTCACTCCAACCCCACTCATCTTATAAACCAGCTAATTATTAGAATCAGGTGAGCTAGATTAGGGTTGGAATGAAAACCTACAGGAAAAGGGTTGGAGATCCCTCTTATAAAATATGCATAAAATGCATCCTCCAATTGCAACGTGTGCCTATGCCCACACGTGAATCGTTTCAGGAAACTAGGCATATGTCACGCGTCACTACTTCACAGGAGAGCCATTTGAACTAAAACTTCTTTTTTTTTATCAAAAAGCGCTTTTTGGCAGAAATGCCTTCTGGAACATGTGAACTTTCATGTGCCTTAATAACAAACTTGTATGCCATCTGTAAATACGAATACAATTGTTAAATTACGAGCCTAGTTGGTTTAGCCATGGAAAAAGACAGGAACCTTCCCGCTAGCCATGATTGGCTGAGATAATGGATGGGCTGGACATGCCGAGAGATGAGTTTGGATTGGTCTGCCATGTAGCACGCTTCTGTCTATAACACGAGCTGGTCAGTATGTGTAGGTAATCCTTCCTAACGCAGCTTTTTTGAAAGATATCACATAGTAGAACTGCAAAAGTGTTGCTCCCCACTTTCTGGAGGACCGAGTTTTGAAATCAGTGGAATGCCCAGTGGAATTAACGTATGATAGCGAAGGAGATGGAGAACATTCTGGCGTTTGATTGCAAATATGCAGAGGGTGTCGAAAAGAGAACACACAGAAGGCTATTGTATAAAACACCTGTCTCCGGATTACATCTTCAAACTAAGGGCAACCATGGCATCCGTGACAGAGAGGGAGAAGTGTCCATCCATGTAAACGGGTACGATAGTCTAGCTAGCTACATGTTCAGATATTACACATTTCAAATTTTGTCAGAAAGTTGTTTTCATTTCAAGTTAAAGGGGAATTGTTAGCTAACGTTACGTGTATGATCTGTGTAGTAATA